TTTTCATAATAGTTGGGAAGAGTTCACTGTTGACCTATTAAAAAAAAAAAAAAGAAAAAAAAAATTCAGAATCATGGTGGCTATAGCTTTAATATTAAACATTTAAATGCTTATTTGTAAGTATTCAAATAGTTTTATGAAGTTGGAGCATCACTTTTTTACTAACAGGTTGACTTAACAGATCAGATCTTACTGTCTTAATAACGTTATTTTGTACAGCACTTTAAGAATAATTGTTGGATGTGTTCCCAAATATTACCATTTTTTTTTTCTTTCTTGCTTACATCTGTGTTTTGACTTAGAATCGACCTGGAATACTATTTTAAGGAGTGGTCTCAAAGCACGTACTGGTTGTTCCTTCCTAATTTTTCTGCAAATTTCAGTAATTGTGAAGGATACTACTTATACCTGCAACTAATTTAGTGTTAAAACTACAATATTAAGAAAAAATGGTTCCTTTACATTTATAAATAGACTTTGGCAGTCTATCCTGTATCTGCTTGAGGACCTCGGAATTATTTTTTTGTGGGGGAGGCAGGATGAGGGGAAGAAAAGGAGGCGTGATTTTTAAAGTGTAGACATTGCTAATAAGCTTAACACTATATTACTACTTTTACTTGTTCACCCATACTGCAGTTTAATTAAGGCATTGCAATGAGATTCTAAAATTTGGTGCATCAGACTTTTATACTTGTTTTTCATGCTTCCATGTTGTAATTAACTATATTTGAATGTAACTTCATTCACTTTTGTCCTTTTTAGATTCCAGATACAAGCCGTCATAGTTTCCAAACTATTATACTTGACAGTCAAGCACAGGGACAGTAGATTAAAATAATCTCAGTAGTGATAACTGTTTTAAAATGCACAGATCTCAATATGTAGACAAAAAATTAATTGCCACCCCCCCCCCCCATCAAGTTTTCTGCAGGTAAATCTTCAAACTTCTCATGGGACTTCCCTGTTTACCATTGTGTAAATTAGAGCATCTCTTTTAGCTTTTGATTTCAAATTTTAGTTATTAGTGTGTTATGTTCAGCTGGTGGAACAGCGAACCTGTTTCCTATTCTGTCAAGGTTAGTTGCTGTTTAGAAAGAATGAATTACTTGTCATGTGTAGAGTTATGTATAATTAGCTCTCAGAGTTCACTTAGTGCAGTGCCTGAAAACTGTATGGTCCTATTAAAAACAACAACAACAAAAAACCCCAAAACCTATTAACCCCCCCCCCAAAACCCAAAAGAAAATCCCCTTCTTTCTCCCACCATCCTTCATCCTCCATAATTTTTTATTTGTCTATAATTAACTTCCACTTCAGTTTTTGGGTGTTTTGTCTTGATCTTGTCCTTCCAGTGTTAGTGCTCATGGAGCATTCCCCACAACAGAACAAGATTTTGCTAACAAACATACTCTTAGGAGTTGCCTGGGGCAAGGCTTATTCAAAGTTTGTTTCATGCCTACCAAAGTAATATAGAGTGGGAGACAGGAGCCAAAAGAGGGAATCGTCCAGGTTTTGTGTTTTTGTAACTTGGGTGTCCCCTAGATTGTCTGTCTGTCTGTCTGTCTGTCTGTCTGTCTGTCTGTCTGTCTGTCTGTCTGTCTGTCTGCAGTGTTTGTATTTTCTCCATGGACCACCTCTCAGAAGTGTGCAGAATATTCTTATAGAGGGTTAACTTTTTAAAAATAAACTGATCCCTCTCCTCCTGTCTTCTAGGCATGCGGTATAAGCGAAGAGGTGTTGATAAAAATGGGAATGTGGCAAATTATGTGGAGACCGAGCAGTTGATTCATGTTCATAATCATACACTCTCATTTATTCAAACGCGAGGCTCTGTGCCGGTGTTCTGGAGTCAAGTGGGATACAGATACAACCCACGGCCACGACTAGACAAGAGTAAGTTCTGGTAATTTTTTGGAGTCTGTAAAGAAACAGAGATCACTTAAACAGTGTGTGAACATTTTAGTTTTTCTGTTGATCTTTTAGTACTATTCCAGGTTATTTACTTGACCAAAAAAAAGAGGGGGGTTCAATTACAATGAACTTCAGTTCTTAAGCTAAGCTTGAAATTTGATTAAGGATCCTCTATCCCAGATGCGGAGGGATAATTACATCCCAGTATATAACTCAGTGCCTTTTCCATACACCATCTTATCTGCTGTGGCATGTTACCGAGTCAGGGAAAGGGCGGCATCTGATCTTCTCTTATGCCAATCCAAAACTTAGGAGGCAGTGTGAAATTCACACCACAGAGTTCATTAACATTTAGGATTCCTGCTCCTGCCGGGAAAGAGACTGTTATCTTCTGGGTAACTCAAGACCAGTGTTCTGTCACACGTTTTCTCTCATTTGGAACAGAAAGGATCTTAATGCATCAAAATTAAAGCCTAATGATTAACTTTGCCAGTGTAAGAAGGTCAGAGAGCCTGTGCCGGGGATCAAGTTTAGATTGCTATTCAGACCTCTGGATTATTCCCTGCAGTATACTTATGAGGGTTGAGGTTTTCACTGCTCCATATCGCAGCAGATTCATAATTTTATGAACAGAAAGGGATGGGGGAATACTCAAAAGAAAAAGTCTTCAGTGTTCTCCTGGATCAGAGATATAGACAGCAAATAGATTGATGCGGTAGAGTCCCTCATACCACAAGCATGTAATTCTTCAAGACCCAGCATTTTTGTATTTACCTTCTCTTTCTGATAGTTTCAGGGAATTTTTATCCATCTGCCACTTAAAATTATTTGTTTCAGCTCTTCTCCCTGAAGGGCTTATGATTTTGCTGTTTTCTGCCTTTTTTTGAAGGCAAGGATTGCTTTCCTGTGTTTGGCTTCTCAGCATCTTGTGGGCTAAGATCAAGAAGTTGCCTTCCCCTCCTCACCCCCATCCCTCTTATGCGAGTCCCTCACTTGGGCACTCTGTATTTCTCTTATGGCTTTGTCATTTTTTGGTTCAAGACTCTTAACTTTTACTAATATAATTCAATCTAGCTGAATGGGGCCTTGCCTCCTACTTGGGACTCTAGATGCTGTCTTGGTCAATAACCAATGCTGATTCTGAGTCTGGCTGTGGTGTTAGAGTGGTGGTTAGTAATCATTTTGCTGGTGTCACCTGTCATAGTTCAAGAATCACTAGGAGATTCAAATGACAAGTGCAGATCTGTGCTAGAAATCTTGAAATAGCTGAAAAGGGATGATTTGTTGCCAGATTCTAGAAGTGGCAAGTGTAAATGAATTCCTTTTTAAAGTGAGAAAACCACAGAGAGTCACAGGAGCAAAGGGAAATCCAAAAAATACCCAGATCACATGAAAACAGTTGGAACTAACAAAATGCTAACGACTTTCTTTGTTTGTGACATCTCTTCATGGGTTGGACAAATCATTATTCTTGTGATCAGCTCTTTTAGCTACCTTTTAGGATTGTTAGGAAGAATAATCCAGTCATTTTGAAAGAGATTCATATAAAGTAGTTGTGGTGATGAGTTTTGAAGAAAAAGATACAAACTAGTCAGTTAGTTGGTAGTATTACAACTTTTTAAGAGCTATTTAGAAACAAAGTTTCTCCCCTGTATAGTCTTTGAATTTTTTTCAGGGTTTGTTACCTGCCTTGCTATCTTGGTTTAATACTTGCTTTCATCAGATCTATGAGCTCTTTTAAAGAGATCTTTAAAACCTCTTTCCTGTGAAATGGGCTCATATGAAGCATGAAGGTAAGGCAGAGTGGTTGAACAGGTTTGTACTGGAATAACCTTGAATGGAATTGGGTTGGCTGGAATAGAAAAGCAAATAAGTCAAGCTACTGTATTCATGGGTAGACAGTGGTGGTAATCAGTACCACAGTATTGCTCTAATACTATTAGTTATTTGCATCTCTACCTTCTTTTGCTGTAGGACTGGTTTTCAACCTGTGGTTTGTGGACCCTTGATGGTCCACAGACTGTCTAAGGAGTCTGTGAAAGATGACAATGATCAATCAAAAGTATCTGAATACTTACACTTACCATTCAAAGTGGTCTGTACCTATTCACAATGTCCGGATGGGTCTGCACTTTGAATCATAATTTTTTAGGGGTCTGCAAATGAAAAAAGGTTAGGACATTCAAGAAATGCATAGTATGTTAATTTGATTCTGTACAAGGTACTGTGCTTCCTATTCCTCCTAGCTACCTTAGATATCGATATTATCGACTTGAATATATTTTCATAGCTTGTGTATGAATAGAGATAAAAACTAGATTTTCACAACTTCATTCTGCTCTGTAGGTGAAAAGGAAACTGTGTCCTATTTCCGTGCACATTTTGAAGAACAACTGAAAATTTACAAGAAAGAGGTGAGTTTTAGGTCTGCAATGAAGTTTTTGTTGGTCTGAATTAACTGCTTATTGGGTCTAAAGGGACAATTAAAAATAGGACTTCAGTTTTAGCTTTTGAGCAGTCTTTGGCCGATGTTTCTAAGAATATGAGTTAAGCTCAGTTTTTGGGTAACTATGTAGGCTTGATAAATCAACAGTTCATTTTTATTAGAAATGAGCAACTATAGCAGGACACCTACTATAGTTTAAAAAAGGGAGAAACTGAAGTCTGCAGAGCAAGGGTGTCAAACATGGGGACTGCAGGCCAGATCTAGCTCACAGAGCCTATAATTTAGTTCCTGGCTGTTTCTTTTGCTGTGCCAGATGGGCCCCTTGTGCAGTGTCTGGGATGTCTGCTACCCTAGGCAGTTGCTTGGACCAGGTCCCTTTGCTGCAGTGCCCATGCAGCTTGCTGCCGGTCCCTAGCTGTGCTGCTCACGTATTGGTGGGTGGCAAAACCTGACATGGCCCCAGAGAGCAGCATGGACAGTGCAGCCCAGGACTTGGCCTCAGTGAGTGTTGTGACCTGGTCTCAGTGGAGCAGCCCTTCATGGCTGGCATCCTGGCTTGGCATCCCAGGTGCATGCTGCCTGCTAGGTCAGGCGTTCAGGTGTGGGAGAGAAGTATCCATGGGCCTGAGTTTCACACCCCTGCTGTAGAGATTCAAAATAAGTATTATTGTTTTTAACAGCTTTATTTTAGTGAGAGAATAGAGTTCAGAAGGTGATATTACCAAGATTAATACAATGTAAAATTCTTTAACTTGAATAGGTCATTATTAATTTGGTGGATCAGACTGGACGAGAGAAAATTATTGGTGATGCTTTTCTAAAACAAGTGCTTCTGTACAACAATCCACGCCTCACTTATGTTTCCTTTGACTTCCATGAGCACTGGTAAGAAGGCTTTCAGATATGCTTATTTGTAATATTTGCTAAAGTGAGAGAGATGTTGCAATGGGATTACTATGCTTCTCTAATAGTGCATGAAATGCATTTACTTTTACACAGCTAGAATAATTATAAGTAGAATAATTAATATAATTCTGAGGTTTTTTTTGTAGTTTAGGCTGATGGTGTTTTCTTCTAGTATTTTATAAAAACCAATGAGGAAAAAAAAATCCAAAACTTTTAATCCCCATTTTTTGCTTACTAGTTAAATCTGTAGCTTAACATTAGGGACAGCCCTATTTCACTTTAGTGTGCATTCTTTTTCAGTCAGTCTCCTAGGCTTCATGGTATGTTTTTGTTTTTGTGCTGTTTCATATTGCAAATTGTATTGTACATTTTCTAGTATAGAATTTCATTTTATACACCTAAGAACATTAAGCACATGAAATACCCTATGGTTCTTTCAGAATTCTGGTTGTGCTTGTTTGTATGCAGATGTTTTTTTTTTTTTTTTTTTAATATGAACAGATGCTTAATTTTTGTACTTAGGCTTAAAAATGAGCTCTTCTCAGAATAATAAATACTGTTCTAAAGCCACCCAGGGTATGCACTACATGTCAGTTATTCTGACTCGAGATAGCTAGCGATTCTATCGTAGACAGGTCTTATAATATGTAAATTCAGGGTTGTGGCTGTTGTAGGGTTTCTGTTTCATAAGGCATTCAAGATGGTGTGCTTTACTGGAAAAATGACTCTGCAGTTAATGTTCTGATTCACTGACTGAAGGCATATGTGCCAATAGGGGGCATTGTGCTTTTGGAAAATGCTCTTAAATGGGAGGTGATTTAAAAACGTTAATAGACTTTAAAACAATGGCACACTTTTGTCATAGTGATGTCCTGACCTAATTTGAATTCACTATGTACTCTTTGCTTGTTTCCTTTCTATGGATCATTAATCTTTATTGCTCTTTTGTCCTGGGGAGCAGTAGTTATTTATTTATTACTCACTCAGAGATCAGAATCATGCAGTTTGCAAGTAGACAGAAAGACGTGAAATCTGTCTTGATAGTTTAGGGATTTTTTTAAATTAGTGAAGTTACAAAAAAAAAAGGAATTTCAATAGTGCAACTTACCTTATTTTTCACAGATACTAAAATGGATCCTTTTTGTGTGAACCATGCTTTACACCAGGAGTTGACAATGTTTTGGGCCAGAGTGCAAAAGACACCCCAACCCTAACGCACAACTCAGCTTGGCGTGCAGGGGCAAACCGTGGGGGAGCTGTGAGGGGCCTGATCTTTGTTGCTGGGAATGGCTGCACATGTGCCTCTGGGAGGACTGTGGGGGAGGGACTGGGTCTGCCCTGCCACGACCCCTTCCCTGCCCTATGCTCCAAGGCATGCATGCAGTCACTGGCACGGCACCAGTGCTGGAGCTCCTGAGCCCAATACAGCTGTCTGCAGCCTGCTTGCTGCCTGCTGCAGCTGCCCGGAGCTTGGGCCAGCTGTGGCAGGCAGTCTGGGGCAGTGTAAACCCAGTCCCTCCCCAGCCATCTGAATGGAAATGTGGGTGCAGCTGCCATCACAGAACCTGGCCAAGGACTCTGGAGCCCAGTGCAGCTGTCTGCAGCCTTCTGGCTGCCTGACACAGCTGGCCCAAGCTCTGGGCAGCTGTAGCAGGTAACTGGCAGGCTACAAATAGCTTTACCAGGCTCTGGAACACTGGCTCTGTGATGGTGGTGGCTGTAAGCATGCCTCCAGGAAGGGGAGAGGCGGGAGTTGCGCTGTCTCAGGCCTCTCCCCCTGGAGGTGCACGTGCAGCTGCTGCCGCCACAGAGGCCAGCCAATGCTCTGAGCCCGGTGCAGCTATTTCCAGCTTCCCAGCTGAAGCCAGCCCGGGCTCTGGGCAGCTGCTGCCTGCCATGGAGACGGGGCTGCTTGCAGCCTCCTGGCTGCCTGCTGTGAGCAGCCTGAGCTCTGTGGCTGGTGGCCTAGGTTGGCTGTGGTGTGACAAGCAAAATGGCCTTGTATGCCACGGTCTGGCACACGTACTGGGGATTGCCTACCCCTGCTTTATACTAATGCTGTGAGTCTTGGTTACTTAGGTAGCTTCACCCTTGTGCTTTTTTTCAAGAAAGATTTTGCAGAAAGCACCCCTAAAGGTCTGTTGTGGATGAACTCTAAATATCCTCCTTTGGAAGCTACTACTGGCACCTGAATAGGGACTCAAACAACCTCTATAGTGTAGAGGGCCCAGCTTATTACTCATGTAGGGCTCATGTACACGGCACAATTTTTACTCTTTCATGCGCTGCAACTATGCCTGTTTGCACGAGTGGGATTTCCCAATGCTTTAAAAATCTTTTTTGTGCATTAAACTAAAACTCCTTGGACGTAGTTTAGTTTGGCTCACCTGGAATTAAAGTGTTGTGTCCATGGATTCATTGCATTCAAACACAAGGGCATACTTCTTTGTCCACCAGATGGCATTGCGACTTTTTTGTAGTTCATCTCTTTGAGTTGCTTCTGCTTTTGAATTGCTTCTGCTTTTTTCTTTTTCTTGTGTGGTTTGCTGGCTCCCCGCTTCCACAGCTGCATGGGAGAGCATGGGCAGCTCTGGACCATCCTGCTGTCCTGTGGCACTGGCCAGGGACCTGGCTTAATTCGTTTGAAAACCTAGTGAGTGTAAACATAATATGACACTCCAAAATAAATTGTTTTAAATTTTATAAACCTATTTAATTTAATGAGGATTAAAACCCGTAGTGTGTACGAGTGCCTGTGGGCAACAGTCTGCATTATGCGTAGTGTACTTCTTTTTTCCTAGGCCAACAGCCCCTCCTCACCAAACCCCTAGCCTTTTTCTAGGGTCTCAGCTGATCTCAGACTTAGCTTTGGGAGGGTTCTCCATTCTTGTCTGGATGGTACTAGCCATTGTTTCCTTAAATTAGCCGTGAGTACATTGCTTTTAAATGAGTTGTGTTGTTTTGCCTTTCCTTCCCAGATTTTACAATCCCTTCACAGTCCACTTTGACTTAATTTTGTTTGCAGGCAGACAGCAATGCAGAATTGAGCAGGGAGCCAGTCTCATGTCATCAAAAGATTAATAAACACTCCCAGGTTGTTACAAAGTTTGCCTCCATAATAGAGATTTATATCTGTAACAAATATCCCTAATGTAGGTGGTTCCTAAGGTAAGATACAGCAACAGAAAGGTATTAGTAGTAAGGGTATGTATTTGAGGCGAACATTTTGAACATAATGGCTATGAAGCATGTATGCGTCTTTTAGCTAACTTTTGAAAATATTCCTCATTGTCATAGTTCCATGACCATTTCTTCTAGTTCTTGTTACTCTTAAAGACCTTTGGTTTTGTTGCCTTTGTCCATTCCACGTGTTTTGCCCACCCGATCCTCACATGCCCCCAGCTTTTTCTCTCTGTTCTGGGACCTTGTCCAGGCTAATAGGCTATGTTTGAAACTGTTAGCTGGCACATCCTGTATAGTGTTAATGAGTGCTCCTGATTTTTCTAGTTCAGGCAGGTTTTTTAGAATCTTTCCCCAAGTGATATAATGTGACAAAAATAGGGAATCTGAGCCCCTATCAACAAATGAATTTTTCCTTATAATAAAGAAACAAGTACGTATCTACAAGTGAAGCTGGTGAAGAGTGCCTATTCTTCATCCATTAATTACCTTCCATGCTTGTACCGTCTAGTCCTGTGTGTTGTCAAGTAGTAGTAGCCTTTTCAGATAATATGATTTGGGGATGGGTGTTGTGGGGCACGGGCAGTCGTGTTTGTTTCTGTGTTCCTTTTTTCTGACCCTTATACCTTGGCATAGGATGTTTAAATGCTTCAGTTATCAAGCTTCACAGAAGGGGTTTTGTCCTGCCATATAATGCGACTAGGGTAGACTGGTAGTTGCATTTCGTACTGGGATGGCTGCGTTCTAGTGGACAGCGTGATCCCTTCATTTATTTGCAGGCCTTCAGGATGAAATATTCCAAAAGAATTGGCTTACCTTTTTTAAGTCACTTTTTGGTTTGGACTTCATAGATTTTATAGATTTCATAGACATTAGGGTTGGAAGGGACCTCGGAAGATCATTGAGTCCAGCCCCCTGCCCGAAGGGCAGGAAGTCAGCTGGGGTCATAGGATCCCAGCAAAATAAGCATCCAATTTTATTTTTGAAGGTGTTCAATGTAGGTGCTTGAGCTTTAACACCTTTTAGTCACCTCCAAAATCTAATCATCCTATAATAATTCAAATGAGAAGTTGAAAGGTTGGAAATAAGATAGGCATGGGTGGTTGATTATTTTGTGTGGTTTAATTTGCATCTGGTATTTGTAACGTTTGAGAAACTTTTCATTTTGTTTGAAAACTGCAATTACTACCATTGCAAACCTGTGCAGGGGGGAGAGCCCCAAGTTTCTCCCCACTGTTTATCCCAAGAAAGTAGCTGAACTTTGTCCTGTGATAACTCTTTATCCTCTCAAGCCTTGGCTCCAGTGCCCTTATATCAGAGCCCACAGTGGCAGCATGGGAAAATCTCCAGATAGTTTCCCTGTGAGTTGTCAAAGACTTGTAGTTTCCCCCCCACCCCTTTCTATAGAATGGGCTCGCCTGGAATATCATTCAACCTGAGGTCATGTTCCATCACAGACAATAAATAAGGAGACAAAACAACAAGTTTATTTTATAAGAGAAAAGAAAATCTGACTTTTTAGTCTGAAGACAGAACAAAAAGACAAGTTAAGTGTCTTACCCTCTTACCTGTCTATGACCTGGCCTTGTAGTCCTGCCAGTGTTTCCAGAGATCAGACTTTCTGCCGATCCTGCCAGCCCCGACTGCTGGGGGCTTGGACTCTTCCCCAAGCCTGGGATTACTAAAGATCAGGATGGCCTTCTAGGCAGTCCCTAAATATCTCCAAGTCAGCCCCATCAGTGGTGTCCTAATTGCTTATGAGTCTCAGATTCCTCTAGAAATTTCTCTCCCTCCTCAGGCATCTGAGATTCCTCTAGCTAATGGCCCATTACTCCAAGATGTCTTCAGTGTTGAGCGGTTGAACTTCGTATTACAGGCGTACAATATCTTTGGAGCCTCCCAATGCCTGAGGAAGGGTGCTTGTGCCCGAAAGCTTGCAAAGAACCTTTTTTTCAACTACTCGGTTGGTCTAATAAAAGATATCACATCTACCCAAAGAACCTTGCCTGCCTGTGTCTGTAGACCAACATAGCTACAGCCAGCAACCCTGCATCCTAATAATAGCCACTTTCGCCTGCATTTGGGAGCCACAGTAGTTCTTGCCCTAGTGACACAATGGCAAGAGATACTTAATTTTGCTTACTCCCCTTTCCTTAAGTAGGCATCCCTCAGTTCCTTTGACTAAACCATGTCCAAAATCATAGATGTATATAGACTGTATACTGTAATTCTGACAGAGATAAAAGGGATATAAACACATACGGTATAACATTAGCTTGTCTATGAGACTACTTACAGCGTATTAGTAAAACAAACACAGAAAACCTGCATGACACCCCAAATTTCGTGGGGTTCTTGATATCCTATTATTTTGCTTCATATGTAGCCACAGGTCAGTTTGCATATAATCTTTATGTGAATTATGATGCTATACATTTTTCTCAGTGAAAACTTGTTTTCTATACTTCTGTATTTTAGCCGAGGGATGAAGTTTGAAAATGTTCAAACGTTAACTGATGCCATTCATGATATCATCCTTGACATGAAGTGGTGTTGGTAGGTATTGAATATGCTCAGGTGACTGTTATATTTTGTTTAAAAAACCCCAAACCGTAATGAAACAAGGAAAAGCAGTGTAAAATGATGTTTACATAAGAAAGTATATTAAATAATTATGAGCAGTGGGGCTGATGAGTAGAGTTATAACTGGCACGATGAATGAATTTGAGTTGAAGGTTCTGCGGTTGATTTTAATAGGAACATGTTTTCTAACTTGTGTGGATTGATCATTTCCTGCACCTTTAAGAGCTCTCAGTTGATAATACTTTCCTCTTCTGTTCTCCTTTTCAAAAGGGTTGATCAAGCTGGTGTGATTTGTAAACAGGAAGGAATTTTTCGGGTTAACTGTATGGACTGTCTGGATCGTACCAATGTTGTACAGGCTGCAATTGCACGAGTGGTCATGGAGCAGCAGGCATGTATGACTTGTAAATTTACATGTGCTAAATACCTTGCCTTTTTTACTTAAAATTAAATAGCATTTGTGTTTGGGAAGGAGCAGGTCTGGATCCTAGCAGACCTATGAAGTTGGGGGCTGGGGAGAAGGCATGCATAAAACCTTGGAACCAGGTTCAAAACATTTCAGGATTGGAAGGCAAAGTTTTAATGTTTTTAAGAAAAAGGCTGGTATTATGAGTCCCAGAATGTCTTTTCTCACTTTGATCATGCAGTGAATTAAAGACAGTTATTTATTTATTTTAAGTGGTCACTGCTTGCTCTAAAACAAAAGAAGGGGTTTTACATTTATTGTTCTGAAGAATGCTTGGGTTCTGTGATGGATGTGCAGAGGTACAGTTGGGTTTCAGGCGCTTCAGAATAAACTGTCACGTGCAGCAGAGAAAATGCATGACAGGCTTCAGAGATGAGCATTTGCTTAGGCAAAAATTCTCCATCCCCCAAGCATTCTAAGCTGGTTATTGATAAACCATTATTTTCTGGAATTATTCTGTCATTTTACAGAGAGGGTATTTTCAAGTGATGGTAAGAGGAAAAAGATCCTTAATGAGTTTACTTCTATGTTTAATGAACATCTTCCTCCTATGGCCCCCTCAACATTGGTTGCATTATCCTCTGATGAAGGGCATTAAGAAAATGGCAGTGTACATAGCTAATAGGGCTACGTGAAGCTTTGGTCACTGATTCGATTTGGCGGAGACTCGGCCTGATTCAGTGGCCGAGTCTCTGAATCGAATCAGAACCCTATGAATTGACTCGGAGAGATTCAGAAAGATTCAACGATTTGGACGTAGACAGTTTTAAATGGTTTTTCTACATACCTCAAGGTACCAGGCGGCTCGTGAACGCTGAGATGGTGGAGCGGATGGACTGTCCCACAGCAGTGTGGGAGGGTCCCCAGCGCACTTGGCAGCAGACCCAGAAGTGGACCAGAAGCACTTCTGGGTCAGCTGGGAAGTGTACAGGGGGGCCGCTCCACAACTCCTTGGCTTGGCAACTGGTACTTCCTGGGTTTGGGGGGGTACTTGGGGGGCCCCCCGTGGCCAACTGCCGAGCTGGGGGACACCGGGGGGTCCCCCCCATGCACTCGGTGGTGGACCTGGAAATGGACCGGAAGTGCTTCTGGTCCACTTCTGGGTTCGCTGCGGAGCGTGCGGGGGGGCCCCCACGCTCCTGTGGAACACTCCATGCACCCCAGTATCGCAGCGTTCACAAGCCGTGCCTGGTACATCAAGGTATGTAGAGAAAACATTTAAAGCATGTCTGTAGCCACATTGCCAATTCTCTGAATCGGCATCGAATCTTCAGTTTCGGTTTCTAGTGATGAGGGGTGAAGAAGGGTGATTGCACCCGAAAGCTTACTAAGAACTTTTTTCTAACTACTCTGTTGGTCTAATAAAAGGTGTCACATTTACACAAAGAGCCTTGCCTGCCTATTGGTCTAAGGTATACTCATAACTCTTTTGAATACAGTTTAGCAACTGATCACTGCAAGGTAGTTTTGAGTCGATAGGCAGTCATTTTTCATGTTGTGGAAGATCGATATCTGGCAGAAAGTACCAGAACAATCAGTTCTTCAATAAATATGAAATGTTGGCTAAGATTTTAGTCAGCAGGGTTTTATTACTGTGGTGTGTGCTGCATCACTGGTTTTCTTTATAAAGTTTTTATAGTTTCAGGACGTGTTGTCTTGTTTCGCTGGCCTTTTCTATTAATAAATGTGTCAAATTCCAGCTGAAAAAGTTGGGCGTGATGCCACCAGAACAACTCTTACCAATGAAATGCAATCGAATCTACCAGATAATATGGGCAAACAACGGAGATGCCATAAGCAGGCAGTATGCTGGAACAGCAGCTTTAAAGGTAACGCATCATGACCTCTGAGTTTTTATTCGATATCACTTATTTTGTTGGTTTTAAATATGGACAGAAAATCACTTTAATTTTTTGATTTGTTTTGTGTCATTTATTTATATAGTTCTTGAGACTTCTACCAATTGCCAGTAGGCAATTGGTTAAAAGCTGCTTGCATAAAACGAGACATTCTTGCTCGGGTTCAAGTTGGCAGGATTCTCTTCAGCTGACGGCATTGCTGGCTATCAATAACTTGATCTGCTCCTGTTAGGCTCTACATTTAAAGAGGAGAATAATGTAATACATTACTTAATACTGAATCTAAATCCTGCCTTTAACTATCCTCTTTTATTTCATCAAAATGCCTGTAGTATTTCAAACATGTACTGGGGAGTTTGGGGAATAACTATTTAACTTCCTAGTTGTAGTGATGAAACTCAATCAGCTATTTTAACTAAAAGGAAAACTACTCCTTTAATATTTGTTTTGCAGTGTTGTAATTTAAAGGTGATCTGTGAAGACTTGCCTGCCAAGGCTAGGCTTCAGGATTGTGGACCCCTCAAACCCCTGGCCCTTCTCTCCAATACTTGATGCTCCATGATCTTCCTTTCTTCTTTCCTTCCCTTCCTACCACCCCTGTTGTTTCTAAAGCATTCAGTCATTGGCAAACTTTTCCGGTGATCTCAGATCCTGGTATACTGTCTAGCTCAATCTTCTTCTGTCAAGCTTTTGTAATTGTAAATTCCTCAGAGCAGGGATGGTCTCATTTCTTCCTGTCTCCTACAGCACTTAAATTAATAATGCTGCCGGGCAGGAGTAATTGTTGTTTTTCTTTTCATAGCCTTAGATTTTTGCATATTAAGCCCGTAAACAAGCTTTATGGTTCAGTCCAAGTTTTCAGTTACTTTACACAAAGCTATTTATATTCAGTTAAACTGACAGTCAAGGTATTCAACTGGAAACCAGCTTAATGGATGGAGTTTTTTTTACATTCTGAACACTTATTTATATATTTTTTCTTTAATGATTACTTGAATGAACTGGCATATGTGGGGTGCAGGGGGATTTGCATATTCTCAGCATCTCTGCAAGTCGGGCATTATTTGTCAGGGCTTTTCATGCCAAGAAATAAAAACTGCGAGACTGGAATCATTCCCTTTGCTCTAAGAGTTCTTACCCACTCGCTTTAGGTTTGCCCTGGCCTTGTTAATGCCAGCTGGTTCTTAAATGCATGATTGAAGGCAGCTATGTGGATGTAAATGACTGGCTTCAAGAAAGCAGCTTGTCTATTTGGGTGCCTGGCTTGCATTAGCAGAAACCAGAAGGGTCCCATGTCATCTTTCCACAAGCACCTGAAAAAAACCTAAACCTGAATGAATCATGAACTCCTGAAAAAAGTAGTGACTTTGATTTAACTAAACTAAAACAGAACAAAGCCCGAACAGCCTAAGTGACCTGTCTTAAGAGATATATACAAACGATCAGCTCTTTTTTTTTTTTTTTTATGACTTGAAATGTATAGTGTCACTTACGAACATGGTGCCCAGAACATCCAAGTTTGATCTCGGGTATTTTTTCCTTTTAGTGAATGTCCCAAAGAGTTTTCTGTATATGCAGAATAGTGACTTCATTCTCTGAAGAATCACTCAGTTTTGCAGTTCTAATGTTCAGAACACTAACGCTTTTTGAAAACAGCCAGGGCTGTATAAGTGCCACACATTTGGTTGATTAAATGTTCAAAGGAATGTTTTATGTAACAGGGTGACTTCACTAGGACTGGTGAAAGGAAGTTGGCAGGAGTAATGAAAGATGGAGTCAATTCTGCAAACAGATACTACTTGAATCGCTTCAGGGATGCTTACAGGCAAGCAGTTATAGGTAAGAGGATTTGTACAAATCTGTCTTCAGCTAAATTATTGAACGCACTTGTTTTTATATATACGGTATGCTCATGGAAATTGTCTTGTCACTGTTCCTGCATGTGACTCACGCTTTCAAGAAGTTAGCTAAGCAGGTGCTGTCAAGTTCCATACTGATTTATATCTTACTGTGTACTGAGGCAGATATCAGCTTTGAGTATGGTGGGGCATAAATCCAGTTTATTTCTTGTTTATAACCCCCTTTTTATCTCAAAGTAATGTACGTTGTGTTAAGCACTCTGCTTTAATCATTTAACAAATTCATACAATATATTCGATTAAACTGAACTATCTTAAATTATTTCTAGTAATTCAGGTATTTTCAGACACTTTTACAGTTACTCTTGTGAACACAATCTGCTGATTGAAAGTTCATTGCATAATATTTAGACTGTCCTACTTCTGATAGGTTTTGAGTAATTGGGCAAGACTTTAAATGTTGCTATGTTAAAAATTCTGTTTTGAAACTATGCTTATTCAGAGCAGTATGCTAAGTAGTTGCTGTATGTATTGCACTTATTGTATGTCTGTGCCTTTTTATCTTCTTCTGTTTTCTGTCTAGATCTGATGCAAGGTAACCCCGTCACTGAAGACCTTTATTCCATATTTACAAAAGAAAAAGAACATGAAGCACTCCACAAGGAGAACCTGAGAAGTCATCAGGAATTGATCAGCCAGCTATTGCAAAGTTACATGAAACTACTCCTCCCAGATGATGAAAAATTCCATGGTGGATGGGCACTTATTGATTGTGACCCAAGGTGTGTTGAATAAGGTTACAGTTGATTGACTTTTTTGTTGGCCATCTGCCACTCTGGAGTTGTTCACAGTTACAAACCTATTATATTACTAAAATGTATTTGTGGCATTGAGAGTAGATTACATTATGTTCCAAACATGATACAAATGAAGAGTAGTATAGAATGTGACCATGTCCTTGAAGCAATTAATGTGATTTGTACTGAAAAAACAAAAGGGGGTTGATGTGGTCTTGAAAACTCATATTATACCCTCTTACCAAACCCAAGCATCCTGTGCTTTAAGGTGGGAGTTTAATACTGCTTCTTCACAAGATTCATAATCCCAATCGACAGTTTTGCTTGAGCAGATTTGGCCTGGTGTAGATTCAGTTTGTGTATGCAGTTTGAATAGCACAAGTTTAATAAGGCGTATTGACAGTGCGTTGGCTTGCCTTTATAGTTTTTAAAATATATAGAAATTATAGATCTATTTCAACGCAGAAGTAATGCCATAATTAAAATAACCAAGCTAAGTTAAATTACTTGGGTTTTTTTTGTGTTTTTTCAGTCGTGTTAGAGTTGTGCTTAGTTGTGATGGTCCAGGAATATGTAAGAGGCTAGTATTTTTGTGGGTAATACATCTTTTATTTGACCAAGTATCTGGTTGGGATAGATAAACTTATGAATGCAGGGCAGTCTTCAGGCCACCTGCATTTGAAAGTTTATCAAATTCTATTCCAACCAGGCAGGTGGTCCCGCAGGAGAGAACTCACAAAACCCCTTACTTTTTAATAAAAAAACCCACGTTTTTTTGACACACCAGCAAGATGTAGCATTTTGTAACAACTGTAGCTGTATTGTAAAAAGAAACCTTGTACATCTGTTTTTTCCTTCTTTCCTTTAGTCTCATTGATGCTACCCACAAGGATGTGGATGTTCTGTTGCTGCTTTCAAATTCTGCCTACTATGTGGCCTAGTGAGTCATTAATTATATTTTCTTTAATTTTTTATGTACTGTATGTTTATTAACAAACATACCCAATTTATATGAAGCGTTGTAATACTCTTACAGCTTATCCTTGCATGGTAAGTGGGTTTTAGCTGCGAGTAAATGGATACAACTTTGGACACTTGACTTTTTTTGTTTCCCCCCTCTGTCTAGTTATGACGATGAAGTTGACAAAGTAAATCAGTATCAAAGACTAAGCCTTGAGGCGTTGGAGAAAATTGAAATAGGTAAGACTAGAAAGTCATTGTACTACATTCCATACTATCCCTGTCTACTGCTTGGTCTAGCAGTTATTTGTACTTGTTGCTAAACCATGCTATGAATACAATGGACAGGGGGAGTGTTGTGGGGCAGCAGGAGACCCAAGGCAGTAGTGGTGGGGGATGCGGGAAGGGAAGTGGGGAGCAGCCAGCGGGGGATAAGTGTGGGCAGGGGACGGGGGCAATCTGCTTGATACCTCCCCACCACCTTGCTTGTTCTCCAGCTTTGGTAGTCTAAATTCACATTTCAGATGTCTTTAATGCTTTCAACAGTCATCTTTTCCACCTTTCTGTTTCCAGTTAGCTCACATAACACTGCTCAGCATAAAAAGCCTTTTGATATGTTTTTGGAGCCTTATTGGAACCAATTTAATAATAGGCTTTTGTGAAATTATTGCAGCGGTTAAATATCTGAATCAAATCAAAGTGTGATCCATGATCAGTGACTTCCACTTACAAAAAAGTTTCCAAAATATCATAGTCTGTCATCATTTAAACAGGTCTAGTCAATAGATGTCCCTTTTTGTAGAGGTTAAGTGGATGTGTATTCTCTGGTATCCTTTATTTTGCAGTCTGATGAATTGCGCTACAGTGTTTGTGACTATATTTTCTTTCATGTCTTAGAGATTTGAACAGCTGAAAGAGCTTCTTTCCATTTTAAAGGAGAATGCTGCTAGAATTCAGCTCTTTCAGACTTTCAGAAACACCTTTTTCAGAGTACTCGCTGGGTAGTGTTCATCATCAGGCATGTCCAGAATTAAGTTTTATAGAGATGAAGACTGTTTTGAGCTCTACATATAGTGTTACCAACTCATTACTTTATTATTTGTTTGCTTTCTGAAGTTCCTGGGTGGCAATTTAGGCCTCTAGAATAAAACTGCAAGTAGGAGGTAAATGAGCATCTTAGTTGGCTACTCCTAAGTGTTGTGATTATCTGCAGGATGGAATCTAGAGCACTTGCAGAGGATGCCACTGGCCTAAATGTATCTGTTGTCTCAGCTAAGCCAATAAAAACACTTCAAGTATTGCAAAAGATCTTTCTTTTTGTGGTTCCCCAGAGAATAAATCGGTGGACTTTTATAGCAGGATCGATGTTGTCCCCTGGACTTAACAGAAATCCCGTATTTGGCTTTCATTTATCACTTCAACTTCAACGTAGAGGCAGACTACAACATGAAGAAAATACATTATTTTGTATTAATGGCCCAAACAACAGAGACTCAATCAAGACAGATGGCAACTGGTATCCTCCCAGAGAAAGAGGTGGAGGGCCAAGCCATTAATACAAAATAATATTTTCTTCACATTGTAGTCTGCCTCTACATTGAAGTTGAAGTGATGAATGACAGCCAAATACAGGATTTCTGTTAAGTCCAGGGGACTACATCCATCCTGCTATAAAAGTCCACTGATTTATTCTCTGGGGAACCACAAAAAGAAAGATCTTTTGCAATATTTGAAGTGTTTTTCTTGGTTTAGCTGAGACGACAGATATGTTTAGGCCAGTGGTATCCTCTGCCAAAAACTCTAGATTCCATCCTGCAGATAATCACAACACTTAAGAGTAGCCAACTAAGATATGCATTTAGCTGCTACTTGCAGTTTTATTCTAGAGGCCCAAATTGCCACCCAGGAACTTAAAAAAAGCAAACAGACACGCTTACAGCAACTGCCACGAGTATACATAGGAGGCTGTGTGTACAGATCTAGGGAACAAGTGCAGAAAATGGTGTGTTTTTTCATTTTTATATCAAGTGAAGGTTATTGCTGACAGTGTTGCAATAGTCATTCTGTTAACTCATGGAAAAAAATGAGCCTCACCTTCCTAAAATGTGGAGGCTTGGCTTCTCTTTCAGGTCCTGAACCTACTCTTTTTGGAAAACCCAAGTTCTCTTGCATGAGGTTGCACTACAGATACAAAGAAACAAGTGGCTATTTTCATACCCTCCGAGCTGTCATGCGCAACCCTGAAGAAGATGGAAAAGGTACAAAATGTTTGTACTGTTTTCAGTGTGCTAATACGATGATGCTTAACCATGGTTTTGGAGCTTTGTATTAAAAAGGTGACTTTCATTATGGCCCCATTCTAGACATGGGAAGAGAGAACATAACCAAAAGAGACTGACTGGATAGTTACTCAGCTGTTCACTGTTTAAGTGGAAGATGTTAATTCACATTTGGTTAGCTTTAAAACAGCGTATTTCTTTCTAGCATCTGGATAGATTGAGTTCTATTGATGGTTGGGGCAGGATGCATTTAAACAAGGTCACAGTGGCTGACAGGTATGGATTAAGTCAGTGTAATTTGTGACTAAAATGCTTGATACTGTATTTGTTTAACCTAGTTAATAAAACACTTAACAGCAGAAAGTCTTGCTTCCTGTAGTAACCTTGCATTGTATGTTAACAAGAATTATAATAAGTCCTGTTTGATTTGATCCATACCATTTTCCCCAGACGTTGAGCCAACAGCAATTCCTGTCTGAATGCAGAGAGCATGAGGCCCTGGGGGGGGGAGGCTGATCTACATCAACTGTAGCCTTTACTCAGTTGTGGTTTGCTAAGGGTTAAAAAGGAGGTAATTAAAGCAAATTAAATTAAGTGACAAAGAGCCTCTAAAATTAGACTTGCTAGAATGTGGGGTTTTAAAAGTTTGTTTAGGAGAGTCTGACAGGCTGCTAATTGGATTTCAGACACCCTTCAGTGCATTGCAGAGATGCTGCGAATCACGAAGCAAGCCATGGGATTAGATGTGCCCATTATTGAGAAGAAGCTAGAGAGGTGAGTGTGATTTGGGTTTTTGTTTTTTTTTGGTGACATTAATCCCCAAACCCCTTATTTAAATTACTTCTTTCTTAGCGACAGGAAGACAAGTGTCCCAAAGGGTACTCTCAGCAACAGTATACTGTTTTACCTCCTCCTTCAGTTCTGTGTTACTTTCAAAACCTGTTTTTTCTGTGTCTCTAAAGGTATACCAATGAAAAGTAGTTCAAGATGGCAACTGCTTCTCTGTTAAGGCCTCTACAGATCTTTATATTTGTTACAGAACAAGAAGTAGGGGTCATAAAATGAAGTCAGTAGGTAGTAAGTTTAGAAATAACCAAAGGACGTTCTTTTTCACAAAGTGGGTAATTAAAATGTGGAACTCATTGCCACCAGATGCTGTGGAAGTTGACAATTTGGCCAGGTTCAAAAAGATGCTGTCTACTGGATGGATTCTTGGCGGAAAGGTGCATCAGGAGCTATTAAGTGTGGGAGTTTGGGGTACAGTCTCTGAATCACAGCTTCCTAGATCCTAAATGCTGGAGGCTGGAAGTGGGCTGCTTTTCAAAAGATAGGAACCCGTCTTGAAGCTGGTACAATGCTGCCATCTTAACAACCAAAGCTAAATAAAATGATGTACCCTCTTCTTTTGTGACAGTAGCGTGTGTGAAGTTGCTTTAATATAATGCTTGCCCATCAGTGGTATAGTAGGAAGCCACAACCTGTGAAATGAGATGCTTTTGGTTCTCTGCCCCAGGGTTAGGCAACCTTTTTGGCTGCAGGCTGGAATGACCCACCCCAGGTTGGAGATGGGCAGGTGCTCGGACCCTGCTGCTACTACTGCTAGTCTCCCTGGCTGCACAGGGGGAGTGTCCATTGCTGGCGTTTGTCCCATGGCAGCATGAGCAGATGCCTTGCTGCTGAAGACTGCTGAAGCCACATGTCTTTAGGTCTGATCCGAAGGTTTCATGGGCTGGATCCGGGCTGTAGGCTGCTGACCTCTGCTTTACTTTATGGCTTGAAACAAGAAAATACTAGATTGGAACTGCTGCATATGTGGTAGGAGTATTTCTTAGTTCACCTCATCAGACAGATGGGACATCGCCTGAGCTGGGGTGGGGGAGTCACTGATTTCAGGAGACCTCAAACCAGTCAACATGGAAGACGCCTTAAAGTGATGTGCTGAAGTATGCTGAGGATATGTCTACATGGCACAATGCAGGGCCATTCAGGGATACCAGAGTTTGCTTCGAGTTGGCTTGAATAATGGAAGCAGTGAAACCATGGTAGCGTGGTCTGTCTGGGCTGATCAGCCCTGCTGAGAAACAGGGTTAATTAATGTATATGCAGTGGTGTGCTAGTGCAGCTAGATGCAAAGTAGCTTAAGTATATCTGCCCAGAGTTGTATTGTGCCATGTCATTAGGCTTAGCAAGAGCATTCAGTGTCAGTGCTTATGCTAATTGTCTTTGATTCTTGGGGTATCACCTTCGAGCCTAGTGTTTTCATCTGGCACTTTGAAGTGAAATAGTGAAGAGCAATGCACTGTAAAAACCATTGCCCCACTGGATATTCTGTATGAAAGTCCTGGGATGGCTGCTGCCATCTGACAAAACCTTCAGAAATCTTCTCTGGGAAGGTGTCTGCCGAGTCTGGCTTCACATACATGCTAGTGTATGGATGGAGAAACTGCTTCCAAATGCAGCTCAAGCATGAAGAAGCAGGTTGAACAGAAGGCTTAAGCAGAAGAGAATGTTAAAAATGATATTGGGGGAAATGGAATGGACATTTTTACAATCAATTTTAATACTCCCTCAGGATCAATTACTCATTCTGTTTGCACTGTTGATCCTTTGAACCATCAAGGGGCTGTCCTTGGGTGTTGTCATATTTGATGCTATCTACTGGAAAGTTGATACTTCCAAACTCTGCACATGAAGACAGTCTGAGGATGCATATATACTCTGCATATATAGCATGTTATTGTCTCTTTTTTATATCTGAAGAAACCATCAAGAAAAAAATTAGTTTCAAGGATGTCTGCCTTGTTTGAATGGAGATGTATTTATTTCATACTGCTTTAATAAGCAAGAATAGCTACCAGTGTTGTACTAAAAAAAGGCCACATTTTAACAAGATAAAAGATGACAAAATGAAGCTGTTTAAGAAGGTGAATTTTAAATGTACTTTCAGTGTGCCTTTGCCTGAAAACAAACTTAAGACGACTCAGCAGAAAGGCAACCTACAAATAAATGATGTTGTCATGTCTCTACATTATCTTTAGCTTGTGGCTGTTACTAGCTCCAGGTCACTGTTCCTTTTGCTTGCTACCTAGGACAAATGTAGTTGTGTGAAATTAGAGAAGCATGTTGGTATTGGCTCAGCCTTAAAGAAGGTGGCAGTGTGGCATCAAGTGTATTATTTTTGTGAGTTCATCAGTATTTCTGTTTGGGGACTATTAACCTTGCAGACTGTCCAGAACTGTTCATGGTAGCTGCAAAGAAATGAGGTTTTATAGCACGAAACCTAAAATTTTAAAAGAACATATCGGGAAATTAAAGACTACTTTTATAGCAAATATAGCTCTCCTTGTTACAGTTCTTTTGGAAGCCATGCAGTTCAAGCTCTTTCTGTGCCTTGAAAATGATAGCTGTAATGGTACAGCTTTATTAAACAGGGCTTACAAAAACCCAAACAAACCAAAAACAAAGGAACACCTGAAAAGTTAAAAGAACTGAATGATTGGATTTGGGGACACATGAGGTCAGGGGATAAACTTCTAAGAGTCCCTTTGATTAGGAACAGGGAAAAAGAAAAGGTAGACATTTTTGCAAGAGGACAAATCTTGCCTATTGGAGAAGGCATATTGATCGCTTAAAGTATCAGGATGGTGAATTTCATAGTACTGATACTTGGTGATTATAATATTCTAAACAAATTAGATGGGGTTTTTGTCTTCTTTTTTTGAAAGCAGAAAGATTAAAATGCTATATCGTTAGTTGTTTTCATAGCTGAAAATGTAGCTGTGCTACATTACAGCTCAGATGGCAGAAGCATTTGTAAATAGCACCCCACAGAGGGGCGAGACTGCAGGTGGAGACTTAAGCCATCAAATCAAACTTTTAAATATCCAAGTGTTGGATTTGCTGACTGTACCCTGCGTTTGGGCTATCATTTTGTCACAAAATAGACATTGATAGATGGGGAGGGGGTTGGATTGCCAAAAATGTATTAAGCGTTCTTGAACTCTTTTTGTTATATTCAAGGGACTATTACGCTGGAAGAAAGCATGAGGTTTCATATCAGCTGCTCACAGATGGTACTTCATTAAGAATTTCTTCAGAAAGGTTAGAGACCGAGTATAGCGATGTAAATACTTTGGAAAAGTGCAGTGCTTAGCAAGGTCAGAATTCAGGTTCACTCGAGTAGAGACGATTTTCATATAGTAGGTTGCAGGGTATTTTGTGTTTGGTATAGATGAACTGCTAAGAAGTTATAAATGTCAAAAAGTGAAAACAACCTAAATGAGTAAAGCTAATATCCTTTTTGGTGGGGATGGAGATGAACAAATATTTCTTGTAACTTCCGTGTTTTTTCCGCAGTTTGCTACCCCAGTATATTTATTCCCAAGGTAAATGCTTGAAGCATGCTTGTTTTTGAGGCCTCGTTAGTTGTATGATTGGGGTGTGAGAAACAGGCCGTATTTGACTTGGATTTGGTTTTGGCCAGAATCGGGGACAGTGATTCCATTTGTTGATTCAGATCACTATCCCCGATTTGATTCAGCTGAATCCGAATCTGAAGATTCGATGCTGATTGGGAGAAACAGCAATTCAACCATGGACACAGTTTTAAATACTTTTTTCTACATACCTTTTGAGGTACCAGGCACAGCTTGTGAATGCTGCGATGCTGGGGTGGATGGAGTGTCCCGCAGGACCGCAGAGGGGGCCACCTGTGTGCTTGGTGGTGAACTTGGAAGTGGACTGAGGTACTTCCGGGTCTTCTGGGGAGTGCGCTGGGGGCCCCCCACCCCACCCCACCCCATGTTCCCCAGCTCGGTGACTGGCCACAGGAGGACCCCAGGTGTCACCCCAGACAGGAGGCACCAGTTGCTGAGCCGGGGGGCACCCTGCGTGCTTCCCAGAGGACTAGGAAGTGCTTCTGGTCCACTTCCAGGTCTGCTGCCAAGCGCTCTGGGGAGCCCCCTGTGCTCTTGTGGGTTGCTCCATCTGCCCCACCGTCACAGTGTTGATGAGCGCGTGCTCCCTTGAGTTTTATGTAGAAAAAAACATTTAAAGCTGTGTCTGTCTGAATCGCCAAATCTCTCTGAATCGATTCAGAGGGTTCCGATTTGATTCTGAGAGATTAAAGGGTCTCCTGATTCGATTCGGATTCGGAGATTTGGCTACAGAATTGGGCCGAATTGAATTGGGGACTGAAGCTTCACACAGCACTATTATATATTGAAACGCTAATCTTCACCACTTGTGTTTTCACCAGTTTCTCAACTTCTCCATGTACCTTTCAGACTTAATCAACTTTAGTAGGAGGGGTTGAAAAGCTAGTTGCCTCATAGACAGGTTACTCAATAACTGTTCACTACAGGGTTTCTTTATATTTTCCTCTGAAACACTGGGCAGATAAGATACCGGACTCGGTCGATCTGTAGCTCCAATCAGTATCACAGCTGCTATGTTTTCATGGAGAAAGAAGGTAAATGGGCTGTACTGTTTCAAGGTACAGATCAGCCTGAGGTTAGAGAACATACTGCTTATATTGACTTCTGGAGTGGTGGGTATTGGTCTCTAAGTTTTTATTCATAATGGTAGGCAGCTGCGTTTTGCTAAGTGTGATGGGGCAACCCGGGAGGAAACCAACATAAGCAATAGCTTGTGTACTGGACAGACAGGAAGAGAAGGTTTTCTGAGACCAACTCTTAGACTGTTTCTAAGCTTCAGTACACTGGAATCATAGATAGCTAAGAATTATCTGGTAACTTGGCTTCAGAAATAACCAGACAGACAATGGGAGTTTTGAGGCAGTATAGAAAATAATTTCAGGATCCAAAAAAGTCAGTATCTTTCTGTGGTAGGGAGTGTATTACATTACTGTACCATAATTGGCCCGAAACTATTGGTCTCTGAAGTAAATGTTTGCTGTTTAATATTAGCAGAAAAACAGTTGCCACAACACTAGTTCTGTTCTGGTTTAATTTGGTTATGTCACCAAGCAATCAAAAATCACCTTTCATAATGGTTCTACACATTGTTTCATTTGCTTGTATTTGCATTTAATAAGTTCAAACAGCATACATGGAGGTGGTGTGCTTCCAAATCGCAATAATTTACACCTACTTGATTAAGTGCACAGTAGAAGAAATTACCTTCTCTTTTAATTTTGCAGGAAGAGCAGTAAACCTCATGAAGACATCATTGGTATTAGATCCCAAAACAGAGGATCTCTGGCCCAAGGCAAGAATTACTTAATGAGCAAGTTTTCATCTCTTAATCAGAAAGTGAAACAAACCAAGTCCAATGTCAATATTGGAAATCTTCGGAAGTTAGGAAACTTTACCAAGCCTGAAATGAAAGTCAACTTCCTAAAACCAAACTTGAAAGTTAGTCTTTGGAAATCAGACAGTAGCCTTGAAACTTTGGAAAATCCAGTGACAGATCCTAAACTCCGCGTTGAATCGGATATCGAGATATCGTCAGATAACGACTCGTTCCATTCTGATGACTTCCTTACAAATTCCAAGTCTGACGACGACCAGCAGTTCTCTGACTCTTTAGAGAATGTAGGGCAGACAGACTATGTTCTGCCCAGCTGTGGTATTATCGCTTCAGCACCTCGGTTAGGCAGTCGGTCTCAGTCTATAAGTAGCACTGATGTGAGCATTAGCATTCACATTCCTTCTGAAATCCACATCACCCGGGAGAGCAGGCCTGGATGTGAAGACAGACCTACGCCTTCTGACCGTATGGAGATGGAGTTCTCTAAACCCATTGACGTGTATTGCCACAGATTTGTACAAGATGCTCAAAACCAGATGACAGAAGCTTCAGAGGTAGAGAGCGGCTCGCGACAACCCCACCAAGAAGCAGATCAAAGCAGGAATAATGCTTCCAAGGAAGCAGAAACGCAGTCGGAAACGAACAGACACACCCCTTCCAGGCCATCGCAGTTGGATGGGCTATTTTCTGACTCAGGCTCTCAGTTCTTGGCTGTTGAGGAAACTTACTCCAATAAATCTCATAAGAGCCCAGGATCTGCATCCAGCATTCTTGAAATGGGACTTAACACAACTCCTTCTCCAGCAGACAGTAGCAGCAGCAGAGCCGTGTCTCCCTTTGCTAAAATCCGCAGCTCCATGGTCCAAGTTGCTAGTATTACACAGGCTGGATTGACCCAAGGGATAAATTTTGCAGTGGCAAAGGTGCAGAAAAGCCCTGCGGAACCAATGGGTGGAAATGAAGTACAACAAAATGAACTGAAAGAAATGTTTACACAATGCCAGACACGAATAATTCAGATTTAGTTTTGAACTCGGGAAGTACACTTGTGGCTTGCATATGATAAACAGAAATTCACGTCAGAAGCCCCCTTTTTAACTGCCACTGAATATTGGGATCCAAAATACCAATTATGTTTACAGGAGATAGGGGTGTGTGTGTATGTGTATGATGCCAGTTGACTTGGTTCTGAGCAGGTTTCAGAATTTCCTTGGGCTGCTGAGCTGATAGAAAGGCAAACTATACTTAACAGGTAGCCTCGACACTGGGATTCAACAAGCACGCTGTTCATTTAAAGTCTATTGCACAGTTACCTTCTTGGCCAGTTTTGTAGGTGTTCTGATGTCTGTGGAATATTTGTATCAAAGGGGCTGGTACTGCACGTGTTACCTTACCTACCCTGCACTGCACCAGCAAAATAATTTACTGACATGACTTTTAGTCTATTTATTTTTAGATTAGGTTTTTTTGTTACCATTTGATGTTCTAGACAGTCCTCAAGAAATGGTGTCTCTACAGTGGGAATCGATTCATTTCATACATTTAGGGGAAATGTTAGGAATTTAGACTCTCCTCTCACCCCCTTTCCTTTTCCATCCCAGTTAAAGGATAAAACATCTTAGAGAAGTTTATAATATCAAAGATCCTGCAAGGCAACTTCTTAGGGTTTGTAGATCTTTATTGTTAAAAGCCAGTGGGAGCCAATGTCCTTTTAATTATCTTGCTGGTGTTAAAAGTATGTTGTTTCTCCTTTTGAACTAGTTCCTTACTCTGTAACTTCTTGACCTATGTAACAGGATAAAACAAACCAAGGTCCTAATATATCCAGAAATGACTGCCCATTGGTTCAGTCACGTCACGGTGACATTTGATTAGATAGTCATTCTAACTGCAGCCTGGACACAAGCACCAAGCGATTAAGCCAGCAGAACAGAACATGTATTCATTCACGAAACCGTACTGCTGATTTTAAGATCAGCGTATACAGTGTGTGTCAAAATGGTTCCTTTTCAATTCAAACCAATTCAGCCTGTGTGATATCTGCAGGGATAAGGCTGAACTCGTGGAACAGGATAGCAATATATATGTGCGTGTGAGGATGCCTTCAGGTTATTTAATTTTCCCAGAATTGGCCTTGCCATTCTATTGTAGGACATCTATATAAAAGATCGTATAAAGCAGGATCTTGCTATACTGTGGTTCATAACTATAACCACCACCGTTATAAGAGCCAGTGCCTCTTGTGTTTGAGTACCTGTATTGTAGATAGACTGCACGTGGTGTTTGAAGAAATTAGCAAGTGTCATAATGGTTTTACAGTGTCTTAGAACCTCTCTAGTGTAATTGAAGTGATTATCAACTAAACCTGATCGTCTGTCTGAAACTTTGATAAACCGTTTCAATTTTGTTATTTATTTTACTAATGTGGCTTCTGTTTTTTTTTCTGGAGTGTGTCTATATAAATTTGTGACCTATATTTAAAAATAAAATACCATTGTATTTTAATGTGAGGGATGTACATGAGAAATATTTTAATAAAAAAAAAATCTGAATCCAAGGAGGCCTTCCGGTCCCTCATGTGAAAAGGAAGGACAAGGGAACTTCATTTCTGTTAAGAAAACTATTTGGGCCCCCACCTGGCCCAAAATCAAGGAACATAAAGGTAAGGGTTTTGTTGTTTTTTAATTCTACTTTTGCCTCTCCCCCCCCCCAACTACTCTTTGCTGCAGCAAATGCTCTGGATCTCAGAAATATTCAGAAAGACTTTTTAGAAAAAATTCTTCTACTAACATGGTAAAT